GGTACATGTAGGAGTAGGTGTTAGAGTAGCATCAGTAGTAGAAGTAGCAGTAATAGGAGTAGTTTTAGATGTTAGTCGCCAGTTACGACAAGTAGTAGTAGTAGTAGTAGGAGTAGTAGTAGTAGTAGTAGTAGAAGTAGTATTAGTAGTATTAGTAGTAGTCGCAATAGTAGTAGGAGTAGTAGCAGTAGTAGTAGTAGTAGTTGTAGTAGTATTAGTAGTATTAGTAGTAGAAGTAGTAGTCGCAATAGTAGTAGTAGTAGTAGGAGTAGTAGTAGTAGCAGTAGTAGTATTAGTAGTTGTAGTAGTATTAGTATTAGTATTAGTATTTTTGGTAGTATAAGTAGTATTAGTAGAAGAAGTAGTAGTCGCAATAGTAGTAGTAGTAGTAGAAGTAGTAGAAGTAGAAGTAGTATTAGTAGTAGAAGTAGTTGTCGCAATTGTAGTAGTAGTAGTAGTAGCAGTAGTAGAAGAAGTATTAGTAGTATTAGTAGTAGAAGTAGTAGAAGTAGTAGTCGCAATAGTAGAAGCAGTAGTAGTAGTAGTTATAGTAGAAGTAGTAGTCGCAACAGTAGTAGCAGTAGTAGTAGTAGTAGTAGTAGTAGTAGTAGTAGTAGTAGTAGAATAAATAGTAGAAGTTGTATTAGTAGAAGTAGTATTAGTAGTAGTTGTAATAGAAGTAGTTGTAGTAATAGTAGTAGTGGTAAAAGTAGTGGTTGTAGTAGTAATAGTAGTAGCAGAAGTAGTAGTAGTACTAGAAGTGGTAGAAGTAGTAGTCGTAGTAGTTTTTATTATTATTATGATTATGATTATTATTTTATTATGATTAGTATTTTATTATTATTATTAGTAGTAGTAGTAATAGAAGTAATAGTAGTAGTAGTAGTAGTAGTAGTAGTAGTAGTAGTGATTTTAGACCACAGTAGTAGTGTATTTAGTAATAGCAGTAGTAGAAGTAGCAGTAATAGGAGTAGTTTTAGATGTTAGTCGCCAGTTACGACAAGTAGAAGTAGTAGTAGTAGTAGGAGGAGTAGTAGTAGTAGTAGTAGCAGTAGTCGAAGTAGCAGTAATAGGAGTAGTTTTAGATGTTAGTCGCCAGTTACGACAAGTAGTAGCAGCAGTAGTAGTAGTAGTAGTAGTAGTAGTAGTAGTAGTAGTAGAAGTAGAAGTAGTAGTAGAAATAGAAGAAGTAGTATTAGTAGAAATAGTATCAGTAGTAGTTGTAATAGAAGTAGTTGTAGTAATAGTAGTAGTGGTAAAAGTAGTGGTTGTAGTAGTAATAGTAGTAGCAGAAGTAGTAGTAGTACTAGAAGTGGTAGAAGTAGTAGAGGTAGTAGTATTTATTTTTATTATGATTATGATTATTATTTTATTATGATTATTATTTTATTATGATTATTGTTATTAGAAGTAGTAATAGAAGTAGTAGTAGTAGTAGTAGTAGTAGTAGTAGTAGTAGTAGTAGTAGTAGTAGTAGTAGTAGTGATTTTATACCACAGTAGTAGTGTATTTAGTAATAGCAGTGTTAAGAGCGAACAAGGTCGTGTTTTTAATAGCAGTGGTAGTACTAGTACATTTAGAAATAGTAGTATACACATAAGTGTTAGTACTGTACACATAAACGTTCTTGTAGTAGTTTGTAAATTAAAACATTCATGCATGCGCATCAGGTTCCTCAATGAGACCACTTCGTCCGTGGTTCTACCGATGACTGCCTTTACCACAACTATTCTATCTATCTTATGAACCGAAAAAGGAAACTTAAAACATCATTTATCAACATGTTTATGATCCAAACATACTTTCCATGAACCTTAGGAAAATGGGCGTAAGATAGATGTCGCTGGCGTACGGTTCTTGAAAAAGACATTCGAAAAAGCATTGCGATTTGTCAGAGCCTCGGGACGCTCATTGCGCTACAGATAAACAGGTTGCGTGTTCGATTCTCGGGAATATTACGAAAACATTTGTCATTTGAATTCACTTAAGTTGTATAAATAAAATCCCCGGGTTTGTTCTATCATGACGTCATTCTGGAGATTCGAACATGTGCTCGCATCTCGCTGACGTCGGAAATTTGAGAGGGTAGTGAGTTGTTCACCTCAGATGTAGATGGGCAACATAAAAGTGAGTGAAATATGGCACTCAGAATTGGTATAAATGTTACAGGTATTCGCCGTGAGAATTGTGAGAACATTCAGGAAATACCAAACTTACCCTACCCGATAAGTGATTGACATTCTTGACATCCGTAAAATACGAAAAGTGTCTCCTGTTCAATCCATATGTATCATTTTGTGAATAAAATGTTATGTTATTTATTTATTCCTGATGTTGAGGATCCCGGCACTGATATCCAGCGGAAAATTACAAGGTAAATTTAGTATGTTGTAAGAGCCTAGAACACATGCACACACAGTACATGTCTGCCTTCCACTCTAACAACATCCCACAAGAACGACAGGGCTACTGTAATCACGAACGACTCATCACGGCCACAATAAATTAGAACGCAACAGAAACTCAACACAACACAATACTAATATATGTCTCAACAATTGTACCTAAATAACATTGAGAAGAGCAGGGCACATTAAATAACAAGTTGTAAAAATGCCGCAAGCAGGTTATACGCGCACGAACGCACGCACACGCCCCCATCCCCAATTTCTGTTCGGATTGGCAAAGTCAAAACAAAGTAATTTGGCCTAGAAGTTTAACCGAAGATTCAGGTATATCGATGATCTTATATCGTTCAATAACAATCTTATTACAATATGGTATTTATGTTTCCGAGATTACAATGTGGAGTTTATTATAGTGGACATAGAATTTCCCGTGATGTGATTCGAGCCACGGACCATGTGATCAGAGGTCATATGCCTTGTCCTCATGACCAAAGAGGTTAACACCGTCAGTAAGCTGACAAGGTAAGGATGGGATGATTCCACGCCCTGCTACATGCGCGTGAAAGGTGGAACTGTTATTGCTTTATAAGTTTGATTCTGTGGAACGTTACAAATTATGGAGATTGTTCAGTGCCCGTGGACTAAGAACCATTTGTAAATTAATAATTAGTATTTATACTCACGGAACAAAGTAATTATGTTGTTCAATAATACATTATTCTCAAATTAAATAATGTATCTTTCAATACATATTAGTCATAACGACTCAACGGCTTTAAGGTCGTTATTCGCAATTTTCACGTGCATGTTAATTTTTTCCACAATTTGGATGTTTGCGTGTTTGTTGCGAGCATGGTACTCATACAAGAGCTTGTTTTAAGTGATTGTTTAGCTATCAGGTCACACAAAAACACTTTGTACCGTAAATAGAGCCCACGCAACGCCGCTCGTCACGCCGAAGACCCGGGTTCAATTCCCGACATGGGTACAATGTGTGAAGCCCATTTCTGGTGTCCTCCGCCGTGATATTGCTGGACTATTGCTAAAAGCGGCGTTAAACCATACTCACTCACTCACTCACTCACTCATCCACTAACTCACTCACTCACTCACTCACATACACAGGCCCGGCAAAGGCAACAGGGTAAACCAGAATGTCAGTATCTACTGTGGTCACCACGAGCACTGTCCTGAATAACGCGTTGAGGAATGTTCTGCCACTATTGCTGAAGCCATAAGCAGTGCTTGGAGTGTCTGCAGTGGTGGATTCCGTCCAACAGATGCTCAATCAGGGCCACGTCCGGTGATCGTGCAGGCCATGGTGCTGTCAGTATGTTGTTTTCCTGTGGGAAGAATCGGCACACACGTGCAATATTAGGGCGGTCCTCGGGTCCTTGTTTTCGCACATTAACCTCGTCAAGTGAATATGAATATGCTGGGGTGGTCCGTATTATTTTAAGTTTTCAAGATTAACCTTCGTGTTCAACCCATACCCCGGCAAGAAGACGCCATGCTGTTAAGCCGTCGGCCGTTGGCAACCATGCTGTTAAACTTTATTTTCTCCAACGGCCCTAGAAAGCTAGGATGAAGTTACTGTTCCCGCTAAGACATATTTTGTTATGGTAATGGCTTTCTTCACTTGACAAGCTATAAAGAAACAAAGTAATTACTTTCTGTTCTTTATCAACATTCCAACTGAAAGTTGTATTTTATTATTTTGTGCAACATTGTCAGTACATATGATTTTTATAAGAAAAGTGTTACAGTAAAGACATATTTTTTTATTGGAATGGCATTTTGCAATTGAAAAGGTATAAAGAAACAAAGTAAATTACTTTCTGTTCTTTTTCAATATTCTAATTAATTATTTAAATTCAGTAATTTGAAGGATAAACGTGTACTTCATCATTTTATGGAAAATTAAAAACCTAATTGTTATAAGAAATGTGTTACAGCAAAGACAGTTTTGCTACGGTAATGACATTCTACATTTCCATGAGTCAATAAGCAATAAAGTAACCACTCTATGTTATGATTGAATATATATTGTACAAAAGGGATCAATGAGATCAATCCTAAGCTTGCTAAAATAAGTGTTTATAACTTCTGAATTAATATGGTAACCTTGTTACAGGAAAGACTCTACATTTAATATAGAATCATGACAGTGATCATGAAGTACCTAATAGCTTATGGGTATTTTCTATTATAAAAGGTCAAACAAGTTGTAGAAAACGAGTTTAGGAAAAAACTTGGCTGCGCTAAACTTCAACACTATATTTTCTGAAAAGGCCTAATAATATTCTTGATATGTTGATGTTATGGCAAAGACAAACACTCAAGTAGGATAATGTATAGATTTCATGAAGGTTTACTGAATAACAATGTGTGTTTGACTGGAATACAAAGCAACTCCAGACTGGAATTTCAGAGTAGAACTGTACAACTAAATTAACCATGACAATGACAAATGGTGAGCTGTATCCTTGTTCTGCATTTTCAAATGGTAACTGCTTACCATCATGTGGCACATGTGGCAGTGTACATTGCTTTTGGGACAATTGACAGAGCAGCAGAAATGAGAGTGAGAGTAGTCTCTGAACTTGTTGCCAATGAAGCCAAACATCTTGATGGAAATGTCCTGTCTCAAGGCATAAAGGAAGGATGTCAGTGTAAAAAGAGATAACTTGCCACGTGATTATGCTCAGTGTTCTGACATATTTGTTCCAGGAACCCGTCTCACAGACAAAGCACATTTTGAGTCAAAACCCTCAAAGTGAAGAGGGACAAGTCTTTCTTGGGAATCTAGCAAGTTCACACTTTGGCCAATGTTCTGAACAGACCACTGTACACATTATGTCCCAAACTCAGTTAGTAATGGGGAGAAGGTGAGGGCTGTAGATGACACTAGTGATGGAGAGAAGGTGAAGGCTGTAGATGAGGCTTGTGATGGGGAGAAGGTGAAGGATGAAGACGAGGAGGCTTAGTAAGAGATGGAGTGAAGGTGAAGGCTGAAGATGAGGAGGCTAGTGGTGGAGAGAAGGTGAAGGCTGAAGATGAGAGGCTAGTGATAGAGAGAAGGTGACGGCTGAAGATAAGGAGGGAAGTGATGGAAAGATAAAGGCTGAAGATGCTGTTAGTATTGGGGAGAAGATGAAGGCTAAAGATGAGGAGGCTAGTGTTGGAGAGAACGTGAAGGCTGAAGATGAGTCGGGTAGTGATGGAAAGATGAAGGCTGAAGTTGCTGTTAGTTTTGGAGGGATGGTGGAGGCTGCATAGGAAAGGGTAAATTATTGAGAGAATGTCGAAAATTCTTGCAGCATCAAAGTTAACACCACCTTTGCAGCTGTCCCATAACCAAAATACTGTTAAGCCATATATGTCATTGTTGAATTAAATGGAATACCATGTCCAGGGTTTGTTGAAGATGTAGATGAATCTGAAGTTTATGTTGCATGCATGCATCGGGTTGGGAAGAAAGGACAAAATGACTTTTACTGGCCAAAAACACTAAAGGACAAAAGCTGGTATGACCATACAAGTGTGATGGCAAGCATCCCAGAGCCACAAGATTCCAGGATCATCTCATTGAGAGGTTGATAATAACATTTGGTCTACAGTTAAAAGCCACTATAAAGGGGTGTAATGTCTTGGGAAGGCAGCTATAATCTTTCAACTTTCTTCTTAGATAGCTTGATGTTTAAAGTGTTGCATTCCAGGTTGTAGTTTTAGATTCTTACTTAGAGTTAAAAATTGTGTTCTTCTAATTATAATTTATAGGTCATGTGTTTTCTTACATTTACTGAATTATTCATTCTCCGAGTTGACTAAGTCTTCATTGTTACTAGTAACACAATATAAGAAAAAATAATACTCAATCTCAAACACTTTGGATTTGATTGTTGATCACAGAAACCATGACATGACATGAAAACTATTCTCTAAATATCTTTCATGTAACATAATGTTGTCTTGAGCATAACTGTCTTCTATGATATCAATCTGGAGATTTCATAATGAGATGGAAATATAACTACACCTTGAGGTACCCCTGTTTAGTAAACCTTTGTTTACTTATGATAGTGAACTAACTAGGCTGACTACAACTTCATCTGAAAATTCAAATTTCATTTCACATTGTCACATAGGTAACATTCTTCATATTAAACATTTAAAAATATAATTATCACAAACATGTGCGCTGTTATTCAAAGTAAGACATTTTCTATTACAGTAAAAATGCGGAAACTGTTTTGTGATCTAAAATGTCATTGTATGGTAATTTGATTTGTCAGGTAACAAACGTTTATCCTCACTGTAACAGATTTTGAAATTTATCCTTTAAAAAGGTGGATTAAATATATTAATAGCACTGAAAAAGATAATGACTGGTATTACTTTTGCAAACATTATTATATAGATGAGAAAAATTTAAGATGTTCTTTACCACTCTTTTCATACTGATGATATGAATTTGCAATCTCTTTTGTGTAACAAATATAGTCAATCCTGTAACATGCATGTCTTTCCTATATCTTTGCTTATCAGAAGATGGAAAAGAAGCTTACCTGCGGTTTGATAAGCTGGTTATTGATGGGAAGTCATATAACTTAAACCACAAAACCAGTACATTGACTGAGTTTAGATAGAGGTTAGGCCAGGCCCAGGCACTAACAGACTACCCAGGGACTGGAACTTATACTGATGCTTCATCTGCGAAAGATATATTCTCTATCTTCACATGGAACTGCCAATCTCTTAAACGCCATCTACAGGATAAACTATTGGAACGTATACTGTCACAACACTTAGTGGTAGGATTATGTGAGACATGGTTGTATTCTGTACATGACTACAGTACATTTCTCTCAGACACACATCAACTATTTGCTACATGCAGACACAGGCTGAAGCATGGAGGAGTTGGTGTGTATGTTGATAAGCGTTTGTGTTGTACAAGAATACTGTCACATATTCAAGATGCTGTCTGTTTACTGTTTGACAAGAAAGTCTTTGGCTATACCAGAGATGTAGTAATAGGAGTGCTACATGTTTCACCAGAATACTCACAGTATTATGTAGGAAAATATATTGACAGTTGAGATACATTAGATGAATGTCTTCATGATATTAAAACGTGTTATGAGGCTGACATTATACTTACAGGTGACTTTAACTCTAGAACAGGTATCAGTGATGATTGTATTATTGATGACAGTGTCAATTATCTTCCAGGTGGTGAGTGGTATGATTTACACACCAAGAGAAACAACAGAGACTTAGAGGTCAATAACTTTGGTTTGACGTCTTTTGAATATATGTATATCACACTCTTTGCATATGGCCAATGGTAGATTTCAGGGTGATGCCCTCGGTGATTTTACATGTGTTTCAAGAAATGAGCAAAGTGTTGTAGATTATTTGATTGTTAGTTCATCTTTATTTCCAGTGATAAATGCTTTCAAGATTGGTAACTTGGATGATTCAGATCATTTTCGAGTCACAGGTGAATTTGTAGCAAAACAGCAAGCTAATATGGAAAATGAAGATTGTTCAACGAGCACGGCGTCTTACACCAAATATAAATGGGATTCTAGATATTCTGACACGTTCCAGAGACTAATCAGAGATGAAACTGCAGCGGAATTAATTGCGGAGATTGTCAATCAAGTTGAAAACAACATAGAAGAGGCTGTACTGTTAATTAACGACTTCTACGGTAGAGCTGCTGAATGCATGAGCAGACGACAAACGTCACGTGATCAGCACATGAGGACTCAACCCCAATGTTGGGATAGTTACTGTGAGACAGCAAAACAAGAAAAATATCTGTCTCTTGATAAACTCAGGATAACCAATCTTCACCAAGATATTCAAGATTATAAAAGATTGAAATCTCTTTTCAGAGATGTTTGCCGAAAGAAAAAAGAAGATTTTAAAAGAAGTGTATCTGACAATCTCATCTCAGTTAAACACAATACTGATGATCTCTGGAAGCTAACAACTTCAAAACCTAATAACACATGATTGGCTGAATCATTTTCAAAGTTTATTAAATAGTGAACAAAAAGATACAACAATGGAAGATACGGTAAATAATGTCTTATCTCTACATGACGACCAGTATCTGGACTGTGAAGATAACACACCTTATTTCCTAAATGCACCTTTAACTTTGTCTGAGGTAACTAGAACAATTGGAAAATTAAAGCGGAACAAGTCGCGGGGTGGTGATGGTATACCATCAGAAATATTACTTCATTCTGTTGATGTCATATCGCCTGTTCTTTTACATCTATTCAACAAGATTCTTGAAACTGGAAATTTTCCTGACGAGTGGTGTAAAGCTATAATATGTCCTCTCCACAAGAATGGATCATTGAATGACGCAAACAACTATAGAGGTATCTCACTTTTATCGATAATTGGAAAAGTCTTCACAAAAATATTGAACGAAAGATTACAACTGTGGACATCCGATAACAATATCATATACGAAAACCAAGCTGGATTTAGGAAGGGCTACGCAGCCGTAGATAACA